ACTAAATACGTGGACCCCAGTGCCTATAGTTGACCTTCTACCGAAAATATCAGTCAATCCACAAAAAATCTCAAACGAGTATACCATTTGACTTTGCGAGAGTATAAAATGTTCGGTTATATCCGAACTTAGCCCTTCTTTACTTGTTTTTTATTTACCTTTGCTTACTTGTTTTAGGCAATCCTGCTTATTACTTGATCAAGCATAAGGGATAATGCCGGATGTTTGTGCAAGTAGAGTACTTGAATTTTATATATCACATATTTGTTTTTAGTATTTTTAATATTTTGTGTTTAAGTACACGAAGGTAAGCTTTCATAGGCAATATAAATATGTATACATTTAGATATATATATAATATGTAATATATATATGTATATATATATATATTATATGTATTATTCCAAACTGTTGTATTTACGGTATTTAGGTTTTTACTGAAAAAATTAAACCGCTTGGTAACCTGTTTTTTTTTTGTGATTCAAACCGGCTTGAAATTAAATGTAAACTGTAATAAATATACATATGCCCTACAGTAATGAAATACAAAACGGAATCGATTCAACTCACTTGAATATCCGTCAAGGGATTTTGGGGACTACAGCTTGTATATATTGTTTGTGGACTTCCTGTAGACGCATCCAAATCCTTTCCTGGGATGTTCCTAGGTGTTTTTGGATGTTTTTTGTTGTATTAATTTCGTGCCCGTTTTATGTGTTAGTATGTATATATATATACATATATATGGATTTTAATTCGCGCCTGTTTTCATTTAAATGAGTTTGAATCACACATACATATGTATTTACCTATGATATTTGGCTTTATTGGGATGATTTTAATATAAATGTCTCGGAAATGCAAATAGTTGTAAAGAAACTAAGCAAGTTTCTATAAATGAGCTAAGCCTCCCCTACATATATGGTACACTTCCCTCTACTCGGTAAAAACTGGCGCACCCTATTACTACACAGCATACCTGAGAGCACCACGCTCAAACATCACCACACAGGACAACACAACACATCACAATACAGCGACTATTCCATTATACACATCGGTGCGACACGCGTTTCTTTACTCGGTTTGCCGAATGAGAATCCGGACATTGGCGGAATTCAAATTGACACATCGTTTTGCTCACCATCAGACCGAATCGTTTTAATTTTAACATTAGTAGCTTTGATAAAAATAAAGTCTATTTTAATGCATATTCGAGATAAATCGCATTTTCACTTACGTATAATATATTATATAACGCGAGTGTAAGTGAACTTTCAACAATTTAAATTCAGTGGTGGGTGTTTCCCACTATGTACATTGGGCATCCAACTAATCATGATTCTTAGAGCCTTAAAGAAAGGCACTGTGGAAATATTTATGATATCGAAAAGTTTATAAATGGTGATACAAAATTTAAAAAAATTCAGTGAAACAAAAAAGTGCGGTAACAAAGTTCACTGTAAAATAAAACATAAAGCAGTAAGCAGAATTGCATTTAACATGTAAGCAGAGGCATAATCGAAAATATTAAATTAAATAAATATTAAATATAATAAATAATACATAGCTATATACACAATTACTTACCACGTACTTGTATACATTTGCCATATATACATTTCATACACAATGGACATATGAACATGTACGTAACAAAGTTACAGAGAGTATAATTATATATTATTATTATTATCAATATATGTAGATTTATTATCAACAAAAGTTTTAATTTTACACATATACATATATAAATTATTGATCTGATTCAGTCCAATTTGGCACACGTGTATAATAACATCAGATAAAGATTCTGAGTTTCTATAAAAAATCCCTCAGATAGACAGATATTTATATTATATAATTTTTGGTCATAAGCTTGCACACTTTAACGTCAGTATTGGTGCAAAGTTTTATACCGATACATTCATTGGTGCTTGGTTGTAGTCCGATATCAACCATTTTCACACTGCTGCATAAGAATGTCAGAATAGTGCCACCTACTATTTGATTAAAATCGGCCGAGCAGTTCCCGAGATATGTCGGATGTAAAACTTCATGTCTGTGGCTTATTTACCGTTATGTGGGGGTGAGCGGGGTTATCATCTGATTTAATCCATTTTAACAGTGTCAGTAGTGGCGATTTATACTGAGCGACTTTGATTATTATAGCTATATTGGTTAAGAAGATATGTAACCTCTTAGTGGGCGGGACCACGCCTATTTTTCTAAAAGGTTTTGCCCACAGGTGCCCCATGCTACGGCGATCTTTTATGCCTACTTAAAGTTTTATATCTTAATTTAATGCTTAGTTATAGAACTTTATAGGTTTTCGATTAATTACTTGTATGTTTTGTGCGGCGCGAAAACGGTCCGATTACGCCCATCTACGAACCTGTCCTCACTTTTATGCCAAGAAACACGTGTCCCAAGTCCCAAGATATCTCGATTTATACTCAAGTTACAGCGTGCACAGGCAGACAGACAGATAGACGGATGGACAGACAGTCGCTCGGAATTCAGCTCGTCTTGTTATCCTGATCATTTGCATAACCCTATATTTATCTCGATTAGTTTTAGGTGATACAAACAATCGTTAGGTGAACAAAACAATTATACTCTAAAGCAACATGTTGCAAGAGTATAACAAAACGCGGTTAAACAAAAATAATTAATTAAGCAACATACGTACATACATACAATTGAACTATATTGTATTAAGATTTACCTATGTACACCAACACGGACATAAACTATAGCTATCTTTGATTGGTCATTACTCCAGAGAACTTAGAACATTCATCATTCATTATTCCTTTATTTTCTCTGGTTCAAGTGCCAATAAGACAAAGAACCGCTCGAGGTAATCAAAATATTGGTGCCGTTTTAGAATTGTAAAATATTTTATATCGACAAAAGCTTTGTTGCCACTTTTGTCACTTTTTTCTGTGTTTTGTGGGCTTGCAGAGTTGTCACTTTTCCCTTCTAGAGGGAACATAAAAAAGTTGTTCAATTTATGATTTCTAGCTTTTGCCATCGTCGCGAAAAGACGCTTGTAGGCAAACGCATGCTCGGGGAGATGTGTAAGGCGTTTGCTTTTATGAATGAAACGATTTAGCTTATTGCTTGTGCGCCAGCGTTCATGAATGAAAATGTTGTTGGTGTGTGATTTACTACAAATTTAGGATTTGTCAATTTGGCTGCCATATTGATTTCTGGTGCTGATGCTATTTGAGACAATTGTTGTTTTTGTACAACAATGTTTGTATCTTGCCTATTGGCTGACGTACCTACATTTGTACGCTTAAATGTATGTAGATTTGAGTATGCATTACTTATTTTGCGCGGTCATACGCATATTTATACATACATACTTACATATAGAGCAGTGCGCTCACATGTATTTATTGATAATTGATAATATATTATTATATTATATAATATAACATATTGATGTACATATGTACATACATAAATCATTAATTCTGTAACAATTCAAATTAGAAAATTATGAAAATAGTAAAATATCATATTTTGCATAATCTTTCACATTTTATCAATGTAGCATTTGTGCAAAAAAATCATATATTATCAATTTTTCATCATAAAAATCGTTTATATGGCAAAAAATAATAATGCATATGTGAAGTGGTATTTGTATTTCTTGTTTTCTCATTCATTTCATTTCATTTTTCTCTTTATATTGGGAGATACATAATTTGTCAGAGAACGTTGTTATAAATTCTCATTTCTGTTAAATAATCGCAAATATTACAGAAAGTGGTGAACTCCTTGATCTCAATTTTTCAGCCAACCAATCGAGCATCATACAAAATTCAATTTGCACCTTCTCGTTGTTCTAAGTTCTCTGCTTGAACATTATGTAAAGAAAATGTACGCTCGAAATTTTCAGAAATTTGACGAATAGCGAGCACAGGTGGACGATTATTACGACCATAAAATGCAAAAGCGCAGAAAAAGTTTCAATTGGAGAACAATTATTTTGATAATAAAATTTAATTATTTTTAAACGTTATTCTTGCATATATCTTTCCACGATGAAATTGTAAACATTATTGAATGCAATCAAAAAAAAATTACAGATCATAACATATTCAAAATGGCCGTAACGACACTTAGAAATCATATCAACCCTATTGGAAAACCTGCTGTTACTTGATATCTATCTCGATTAGTGTGATACAAACAACTGTTAGGTGAACAAAACTATTATACTCTGTAGCAACATGTTGCAAGAGTAGAAAAATTGTGAACATTATTAACACGAAATGAAGCCGTTCCCAATTCAAGGCCCATCATAGTACGCTCGCAAGATCTCTTCAAGGTCACAGGCCTAACTCCAGGACATGTTTTGCAACGGAGCACCCATACCGGCTACATCTGAGCCAGACATAGAGTCGCTAACCCCAACAAGCCGATACTAAAGAAATTTTAAACAACTTCCAATGAAACTATTAAAAATAAAAACTTATATATACTATAATAATAATAAGTCGCCAAAATAATAAATCAAATAAATATGCAAAATAAAGTTGCTTTCCTCAAACACCAATTCCCAAATTGATTCCTACATATACTGGTAAATAAGGATATACGAATACTCCATCGCCATGTATGCCGCGCCCTCGGCTATTCTAGCAGAAGCACGCCGAAATCCAAATAACACATGCAACAGCATATACATATGTGCAAAATATTCGCCTATGTTGCTTATGATATATAAATGAATTAAGACTCCCCTACATATACAAACCGCTCTATTCGGGAAAAACTGGCGCACCCGATTACAACGCACCACACCACAACACAGCGCCTTTACACTCGCTAACAAAAAGGATGGTTACCGCCACTTCTTCACCTCACTTCGAAACAACAGCGATTTGGCGTATGGTACATTATACACATCGATGCGACACGCGTTTCCTTACTCGATTTGCCAAATGAGAATCCGGACATTGGCGGAATTCAAACTGACACATCGTTTCACTCAACATCAGACCGAATCGTTTCAATTTTAACATTAATAGCTTTGATATAAAAATTAAGTATGTTTTAATGTACTTATATTCGAGATCAATCGCATTTTCACTTACGTATAAGTAATGTAAATTTGTGATGATGATGTGAAAAAATAAGACTTACAAATGTACTTCTCTTCATAATTTTTCAGACAGTCTCTGCTTCCCAGCTAGCTTCCCTACAACAATTTGAACCTTATGAGACTATTTACCATGAAGATAAAGGACTAGAAACATTTGTTTATTTTGTTATAAGCGGCACCTGTATGGTTCTACAATGCTTAGAAATCAAGGTTTCTTTACTATTTGAGTATTCATCAAACAGGAAATCTAATTTATGTTTCGCAGGTCTCTATGAAGCAAAAGGGAAAACGATTCGAACTTGTTGATTTTGTCAAGAGTGATGATACATTCAGAAATTTAAGCCTCGCAGAAATTCGAAGCCATATGCGCGTAAAATCCAGGTTTTCCTCCGTTGTAGAAGTCAAATCGCAGTCAGATGAGGATATTAGTGCTCAGCAACAAAAAAAGGTAAGAAATTTGTGTGTATTGCCGTTTTATATTTTATAGAAACTTAGATTTTATTTACAAATACGAGTACTAGTATAGTAGTAATTAAAAATGTATATGAATGGAACCTTACTTTTCCACAACTTTTATGAGCGTTTTGACGTGACTTAGTTCAAATTATATTCACCAATTTTGTAGTGAAACTTCAAATGGGAGTTCGGAAAAGGTTGCGTTAAATNCTACAATTAATTGTCTGACAGAGAAAGCTGAATTTCTATATAGAACCAGAATATTAATATTGAAACATTTAAACAAAACCGCTTCTTAAACTTTGCGGCCTGAATAAATTTTCTTTACAGCCTTTGACTCTATAGATCAAGCAATACTATGCTTTGCATATACCTATTATAATGCCCAGTTTATTTCTGTTGGTTGTTTCCGTGCTAACTATCCTCAGCTCGTTTATTGGAGTAAATCCTGGTATATCAAAACTTTCGCAAGGATAACTCGAAGTTTCTACAAAACATAAAATATCTGAAGATAGCATCAAACAGTCGCTTTTTATATCATTAATGTGAGCGTGAAGACTCTGAACATTATGGAATAAAATTTTGTGTGATGTTCGGGAATTCATAAAAGTGAAACTTGTTGGCTGAGCTTTATTTCTGTTCAATTCCCTCAGTTCCTTAAATACAGGATCCGATTCAGAAAATTTGTTAGGAGGAATAAAATTTTCTATGATGAATAGACCTTCTGCAAGCGACATATATTGAAGCTCTAGGCATTCTGGGTCGAGTATGAACTACAACTTTATTATATGAGGCACCCTGAATTTTATGAATAGTTATTCCCTCAGCCGGAACAACTGGAAACTGATTTCTTTCAATTGAAATTTGTTCATTCCTTTTATATTGAAAAAATTTTAAAACTTTTTCAATTGGTGTCCAAAAACTTTCTAGAGGATGAGGCTTTTTTGATCGTGCTATCAAACCAACAGAAGGTTCCAAAAATTTAATCCACAGAATTGTTGGAAAATAACAATGGAAATCAATTTGCATAAGTTGTCCAGCTGCCTCATTAACCAAGCCATCACACGTGTCTATGTTCACTGTAATCATATATTTGGCGGAGGTCTTTCCAAAATATTCTAATTTTTACTTATACTAATTCCTCTATCTAAGTGTTTTGCAGTTGAAAGGATAGCTTCAGTTGGGATTCGACTGAACTTAAGGGCATTGAAATTATTTGTCTTCATTGGACCAAAATAAATGTATGGCATCATCGGGAACTTCTTCGAAATTAACTACTCGAGTTTCAATGAGTGACACGTCCACATTTGTCGTAGTACCAGATGCCATATGGTTTAATTCAATTGCAAAGGCCTGATCCTCCCGTTGTCTCATTATTTCTGTTAATTCAAAACATTTAAATAACTCCCACAAAGGGGAACCTACTAAAGTGCTGTATGCTTCATTGGGATTAGGAGAGAATATCCACCTATCTCCAACAGGTGAGAGTTGCTTCAAATCACCAAACACGATGATCGGTATACCACCGAAGGGGCTGTCTGTTTTGAAATTTTGTTTTAATCTCGCATCCACAGATCTAAACATACGAGGTAGGTGCTCGATATTTTATCAATTATGATTAATTTTAAATCGATAAGTCTGAAATAAAATGAATTAACTGTGTCATTGCTAAGTGGTCTCAACTCTGTATTTAACTGATTAACAGGTAAAGAGAATATTGAATGAAGGGTCATTCCAATACAGATGCAACAAACAGAACTTCTTCTTGGTTATTAAATTCTGAAATCCAGTTCTCATTAATATGTATATTGTGCTCACGATACAGAGGCGTATTCACTAAGAGTTGCAAAGCTTCCATGATCTTTGCGGGGCGTATGGTATCGATCATTTCATCATGATTGTCCAATTTAAGTGAATTTGCATCACATGAGCGTCATCAAAGGACCTTGGTAGCGATGTCAAAATATTGTTAACAGAAAATGGTATATTAACAACAGCACCTTTGAGAGAACTCTGACCTTGATATCCTAACGGACGGATTGTCATAAAAGGCAATCTAGGCATTATGAGACGTTCTACAATTGGGGCTAAATCTTTCAAACAATCAGGTATTTCAGGAAAGTCTAGACCGTTAGCTAAACATATCTTTGGAACGTTCTTTTTAACAATCGCATTTTTGCAAGTAGCGCAAAAATTGTAATTTCCATCTTCGGAAGGAAATTTTTGCATTAAATAGAAAGCGGATGCAGTATTCGGGTGATCTTGCGTAATAGGTTTGAAATTTAATTTGCGAATTAAGTGTGAAATCCATAATCCGCCGCAGCAAATACATATTTCAGTAGGGCCCTTATTTATATTTTAGAAATAAATATTTTTGAAATCTGTTAAATTGCCACTATTATCATTTACTATAACATTATTTTCTATCGTTAATCGGATTCGTTGGGACTGTCTTTCGTTTTCAATTTGCCTATTGACCGGGTTATCTTTACAAAGGCGAACTTGACTTTGTCTAAGACATCTCTGATTAAAAATTTCTGCCCTCATACCCCTCCTAGTAAGCTGTCGACGTTGTGTTTCTCTATCACGCTCCTCTCTCCTTATTTCAGGATTTCTTCTTGCATGTTCTCTTTGCATTTGATCACGAATGCGCTATAAATTGATATACTTAGAATTTCTTGCGCGAAACTCTCTATGATCCCTAGTGTTCCTACCTTGCTCATCATAAAGTACCTCGGGATTTTCTCGACGAGACCTACGTCCTCGAGTATTTCTTATTTGGTCTTCAGAGTGAATTTGTGGATCTTGCCGCCTTGTTCTATGTTGAACCAGAGAACTTAGAACAATGAGAAGGTGCAAATTGAATTTTGTATGATGCTCGATTGGTTGGCTGAAAATTTGAGATCAAGGAGTTCACCACTTTCTGTACAGTTTTGCTGTTATTTAACAGAAATGAGAATGTTAACAACGTTCTCTGACAAAATACGTATCTACCAATATAAAGAGAAAAATGAAATGAAAAAGTAATCCTGGTTGAAACCAAAGAACTTAAAAAAACAATGAGCCAGGTGCAAAGGTTCGACGCGAACAATTTGTAGGAAATTTATCAAGGAGTTCACCACAGATGCACGAAACCATAACATTTTTCCCGCTTTTAACAGCGGTGAATCTGTAAACATACGCTCTCTTAACATAACCAACCGACGAATATTGAAGAGAATATAATATGTGAGCAAAACTGGGCATATTGATATGCCATTTGAAATATATTCCCTTTTATTGAACTATTATTTTTTAAATTATTTTATGTTAATTCATTTTTACTTTATTATGAGAAATATATCAAAATACATTTAAATTATTACTAATAAAGTATTTTGATATATTTCTTAAAATAATTCATTAATTGTACTTGACACCATTATGGAGTCATAAAAGTACAGAATGATGTTTTGCCGTCGGTATTTCACATTCATGCTTCAATTTTTTTTTCAAATGCATGTGTAAACATATGTAACAGGACATACATATATTATGTCGTTTACACATTTGTATGTATTTTTATGTAGATATGTACACTCATTACTTCATGTGAAATCTCCGTTGCCACATTTTTTGCTTTTATGTCAAAG